CGTGGGGCTTGAACTCACAAACCCTGAGATCAAGAGTCCCCGTGTGTTTTACCCACTGAGGCAGCCAGGCACCCTTGTTCTCTTTCAATTATACCTTCACGTGCAAGTTTAGCATGCTAATGACAAGCTGAGACCATGAAATCGGTCTCACAAGGCCTACTAAGTGAATGCCAGACTCCTTAGCTGCACTGTAGACTGAGTGCCTTGCACTGCCGCCAAATATGGGTGCTGCTGACCCTGCTGCACACCCTGGGTTACTTGCCTCTAAGCCTTTGCTCACGTGGCTCTTTCTAGCCAGAAGGGCGTCTCCCCATCTCCCTCTTGAAATCCGGAACCTTCACTGAGGGCCAGTTCAAAAGTCAACCCCTCCTTATAGCTTCCCCAAACTGGGTGTGACCTATGTTCCCTCTGAATGCTTTTAGGCCTTGGCTTATCTTGCATTTGTGCCTCTCACTACAACATACTCAGCCAGTGTACTCTGCAAGGCCAGGACTTCTTTTGCTTCTGGGTCTCCCATCTGTCAAACACAGTGCCCCACACAAAGTAGACAAAGTGAATGTTTAAATAAAGGAACAAAGGTGTGAGAGTTGTCTACCACACAACTCTAGATGAGGGAGGCCCTATGCAACTCTGGGCCTGCTTTCTGTCATCTCTGAGGAAGTTTTTTAGCTCATAGTCAAAATTTCAGCAGGAAAAGAGAAAAAGTGGATTTAGAGAAAATCCCCATTGTGGATTTGGAGAAGAAATCACCATCACGACTGTGGAAGAGTCAACTGGTGAGGGAACTGGGCATATTTAACCTGGTAGAGAAGACATAGGAAAGACTTATGCTCATGAAATGCTAGAGCTGGAAAGAAACTTTGAGACCTCTGAGGCTCTAATGTCCTGCCAAGCTCTTCTTCCATTTGTAGTTCTGATTGAAGGAAAAGTAAATTATTTTTAAAAAATATTTATTTATTTATTCACGAGAGACACAGGCAGAGGGAGAAGCAGGCTCCCCTCAGGGAGCCCGATGCGGGACCCGATCCTGGATCCTGGGATCACGACCTGAGCTGAAGGTGGGAGCCACCTGGGTGGGCATCCCGAGAAAAGTAAATTCTTGTTCATTCATTTTACATTCTCAGCTGAAAATGATGTTATTTTAGTTTAGAGCTTCAAATCCTTTTTCTTTTATTTCAAATTCAAATGTACTGCTATGTCTTTAACAAAATCATAGTTTAAAAACATTGTTTATTCTGTTGTTCAGTGTCCCTCATCCACAGATTCATCAAAGAAAATCCAGATAGACTTGGGGATCACTTTTATTGGGAGATAGCCCCTTTTTTGCCTTGTTTGCCATGGAACTTAGAGCCAAACATGTTCTTTACCAGAAGTAAATGACTTAAGTCAGATGCTTTCTTTCTCTTTTTTTCTCTCAAGTGCTCAGAAGAGTGCCTGAGCATATTAGATGCTCAAAAATACTTGTTTAATTAATGAATATCCTTAAGAATAGAATATTATATCATCTTTAAAAATATTAGTTTTGGGCAGCCCTGGTGGTTCAGCAGTTTAGTGCCACCTTCAGCCCTAGGATGTGATCCTCAGGATCACGTCCCACGTCAGGCTCCCTGCATGGAGCCTGCTTCTCCCTCTGCCTGTGTCTCTGCCTCTCTCTGTGTGTGTCTCTCATGAATAAATAAATAAAAGTCTTTAAAATAAAAAATATATATTAGTTTTGATGACTAGTTAATGGTATGGGAAATATTAATGATACAATTTTAAGTGACCACTAAGGTTGCTAAATTGTACCTACACACCGTGTTTCCATCTCAGTGAAATCTGTTTTTTTGTGTATTTATTACAGAATATTATACAGTAACACAACAGTTGAAGAATGGTTCTGAGTCATAGTCAACGTGATTTTTCTGTTTAGACTTTGTTTTTCAAATATTCCATAATGAACTTATTGATATAATTTTTTGATGAAATTAATGCATATGAATAGTATAAAATCTCAAACACTATAATAACATGCAAAAAATTAATCCTTTTCCTATTCTCCCCTTTTCTGGCTCTATAGAGGAGAATGCTTCCAAATATTTTGGCTATAGCAAAAAGAAATAGTAAATCTAAATAACCCTGCCTGTGTTAAATAATGGAGCTATGAAATGATAAGAATGTAAAAAAATAATCAGATGAAAAATTCAGTATTTCTGGGAGGAAAGAAACCATAGAAAAACCTTATAGGAAGGTAGGGGTAGTCATCCAAGGAAACTATTTACATCATAATGTAAAAATAAATATTGCTTATCCTCGAAATGTGATATAACTAAATTGGGAGGACAGGATCAAAAGGATAGGTGAGTGCTATTGAAAACCAATATATATTCATCTTTCAACGGGATGAGCACTGGGTGTTATACTATATGTTGGCAAATCAAACTCCAATAAAAAATAAATATACATTAAAAAAAGAAAACCAATATATAATGTCTAAAATGTTTTTTTAAAGGTGATGCAACAAAGAGCAACAAGCAGCAGTTATTTAGAAAGGTGTCAGAAAAGAAAAAGAAACAGCAAAAATATATGAAAGCAGTTTCTTTTTATATTGACTTACATTTTTTGAAGTAAAGTAGTAAAAGGAACATGTGCCTGTGGGTAAAAACAAAGCAGATGGTGCCACTCTGGTGTGCAGTGCTCACTGCTGGCATTCTTGGTGACTTGGATCCACACTTACTGTTTTTACTTAGCTCGCGATATATGTGTTTTAATATGGTAAGGTATCATGGTAAGGTTTCTGAAATTCCTCTTGGAAGTGAATTGGCACATTAGTTTTATTTTAACCTCAGGTGTTTAAAAAATTACCAATAATTGGATTCCTGACATCCAGAAAACACGTCTATATCAACTTTATCATATGTGCCCCAGCTTCTTACTGCTGTTGGCAAAGGTCAGATATGGTTCTGTGGGGTTGTCTCTGGATTTTCACCGGTAAGCTCTCTAGTGTCCTACAGCCTCATCCTAATCTCTTCTCATTTATTTTAACATCTTCCTTCTTCCCTCCCCAAACTAATTTGTGCTTAATCCAAGTTCATTTCTTTTCTTGACTATATTTGTTTTAATCTGTGAAGCCCAGAATGCCATTTAGTGTTTCTCGTGGTCACTTAGAAGGTCTTCACCATGGACATCTTCGTAGGAACATGCTTTAGGAAACTCCGTTTCGAATGCAGGGTAAATGCATTCCAATTTGATCCTGTCACACAGAACCAGGGAAGAACCTCTTGGGCAGAGTGCTTCCTTGATCTGCTGGCCTCAGCCTCCCTCCTTACTGCTTCGAGTGCATAAAATGAGGAAGATAAAGGGCTTTGTGTCAGAGTTTGGGTATTTTCATTGTCAAATAATCTGATACTGATTTATTTTTTTAAGATTTTATTTATTGATTTGGTAGAGAGAGCATAACCAGGAAGAGCAGCAGAGGGAGAGGGAGACGCAGACTCCCCACTGAGCAGGGAGCCCGATGCAGGGTTTGATCCCAGGACACCGGGACTGTGATCTGAGCCGGGGGCAGCTGCTTGACCGACTAAGCTACCCAGGCGCCCCTGATACTGATTTTTTAGGAATTCTCTTTCAAGAAGTTTAAAAAGTAGATGGGTATTTCACTCTGCACAGTCCTACTACATTTTGTATTTCATTTGGGGCTGCACATGGGGAAATAGTGTGTTTTACTTTGCAGCTGAGCCACAGACTACTACCACACCACAGGGAGAATTCTAAATCTTGGAACTAGTTCTGGAAATGCACTGGGCTGTGTGTACAAAAGTGCTAACAGAATATAAAAAAGAGTCAGACCCTAGATCTCGAGTAGAAAAATCCAAACTTCTCACCAAAATCACCAATTCGCAGTGACTTTGTGAGCAGAGATCCAGTGTCTGAGAAAAGTAGACTTTCATATAGGTGAGTTTGTTTCCTGAAGCTAGAAGCTAGTTTTGAAGAGCCAGCTTCACTGGAGCCAGAGTCAGTGGTGGATCCTTTGAGTTTGTAGTTTTGGTTTAAATTTACCTTCAAATCCACCCCATCCCACTCCATGATTACCCTGTTACGTGTGAGGGTGGATTCATGTTCCTAAGGCTCTTTTGACATGTCACTTTCCTACTCTCAAGTTTCAGGGGCCAGTGGATCAGATATATTCAGGACCTTCCAAAATTTGCCCCAGGCCTTTATTTCTAACCTCATTTCCTAGGACTCCCAGTGGCAGCCAGTTTGGGCTCCTCCTCTTCCTCAAGCCCACCTTTTCCCACCTTTTCCCACCTTCTCCTTTAGCACTCTACTCTGCATGTCTTGTCAGAGGAGCTGGCCTCCATCCTAGGTTAGATAGGTATGTGATCTGGGTCACATTATTCTTCCCTGAGCCCCCCTCTCCCTCTACATAAGAGTGAGAGACTGAGAGACTGAATGAAGAGACTTCTTTGTAGGGTCCTTTTCAACTTTATCATTGTGTGGATGAATGTCAGTCTTTGCTTTTTCCTTAGTTGTCCCAGGACACAGGGTCCTTTTCTCTTTTGTGTCTCTGCAGCATTTACCATTCATTGTTTGAGACTGTAGTTAACATTTTTGTTCTGCCTTCAACTAACTTTTGAAGATAATGTTTGTAAACTGAGAAAGCCTTTCGGTAGTCCCAACTTGTTTCCTTAGGATGTGGGCGAGGGGGAGGACTGTTGAGTATGTTCTCCTTTGGACTTCCACCTTGTGTCTAGAAGCTTAGAGACCGTGGGGTTCATGAAAGAGATTCTCTTATTCCCCTTCTTGGGAGAGTGGGATGTTTCTTTGAGAAGAGGCACATATCTACGACATTGAGACCGAACGAAGGATGCAATCTCCTGGAGAATTCCCTTTGGTCTGTTCTGGCTGGTAGGTCTGTGCTGACTATCTGCATTGGCCGTCCTCTGCCATCCTTCCAGGAGAGTCGGACTCCTGGCATTTAGGGTTAGGATGAGGACTTCATCTTTCACTGTGCATTTCAGGGCCCTGTTTGATTATGATCGAACTCGGGACAGCTGCTTGCCAAGCCAGGGGCTCAGCTTCTCCTATGGTGACATTCTGCATGTCATTAATGCATCTGATGATGAGTGGTGGCAGGCAAGATTGGTGACCCCACATGGAGAAAGTGAGCAAATCGGTGTGATCCCCAGTAAGAAGAGGTGAGTTGTCATGCTCGTGAGGTCTTCCTTGCCCTCTTCCTGGTATTGATTTCTTTTTTACCTATTATACTATAAGTTGCTTGAGAGCAATAAATGTGCTTTATTATTCCTCTGTTAGAGAGTTGGTGCTTAAGACATGGTTATGACTCAGTGAGCCAAAAAGTGGCTGCTGAGACCATGCACTGGCAGTAAGTAACAGGACTTCTTTCTGACTCCAAAACAGGGTGGAAAAGAAAGAAAGAGCTCGATTGAAAACCGTGAAGTTCCATGCCAGGACGGGGATGATTGAGTCTAACAGGGTAAGTAGGGATCCCCAAGGAAGTCAGCCAATATGAGAAGAGGAGTAAGAAGCTTGGAGTCTGTCTGCTGGATAAGAGAACTGGGGAGCACAACAGAATATCTCTTTTTCAGGGGGCTGGCTCTGTCCTATCAGAACACTGACTGCTTTTCAGAAAGCAGGGAGAGGGCACTCAAACTCTGTGTCCTGTTTGTACTCCTTCCCCCTGGGTTACTGGCTCTTGAAGATGTGTTGGAGTTCGACTCTCTGGAAGGCTGACTTGTTCTGGGCACATGAAGCCACTTGTGGGTATCTCCCTGGCCGCAGACCCTGTCAGAGCTGTGGAGACCCTGAACAGAACCTGGCCTCGTTATCCAGCAAGGAAGGCCAGCCTCAGAGCTCTGACCACCCCTCAGACCAACAAGGCATGAGGGCTCAGTCATTCACCCCTTTTCTTCTATGAGCTTTGTAGGCCAAAGAGCTTTTGGAGCAGTAGAGGTAAGAGAGACACAGAGTAGATGACTCTGTGTATATCAGTGGCACCTTAGGGATGTGTCCAGGAGGCTACAGTGACCTTTGTCCTTTAGAAAGTGCCAATGAGTGCTGTGAGTCTGGATTAGGTAGAAACCTCTAACATCCCTACAACATTTTCCTGTAAACATAATTTCCTCCTACATCAACTTTCATTTAATCTCATAGACTCCATTTGTGAGAGATGGTCTTTTATTTAGCTCACCATTGTCTCCATTTCAGTTTTTCTTGCATGCTTTAAAATCCATTGTTCTGTTTTTTTTTTCTTCTGTCCTTCCCCTCCATCTTCATGTTCTTTCACAGTCGATCAAAACGAAACGTAAAAAGAGTTTCCGCCTCTCTCGAAAGTTTCCATTTTACAAGAGCAAAGAAAACATGGCCCAGGAGAGCAGCATACAGGAACGTAAGTAGCAGCAGGGTACAGAGAGCAGAGTGCCCACAGCCCCACCCTCTCTTCCTCATTTGCACCTCCCCTAATGAGAAGATGGGGGAAAGTGTGTGTGTGTGTGTGTGTGTGTGTGTGTGTGTGTCCCTGTCCATCTGTTCATGTGTGCATGTGTGCGCGTGCATACTTGCTTATTTGCGGAGTCAGCATAGAAATTGGCCTGCACAGGGAGATATTGGGTCTCTCTTATCCAGCTGCTCACTCTGAAAGAATGTTGGACGTTCTAAGGACCAACTGGTTCCAAAGCTGGCCTACCAGGACTCCCCTGGCACTGACGTTGAGGGTCCGGTGAAGCTCTCCTGTGGGAGTGATGAGCAGTTTTCAGCCACAGTGTCAGGTTTAGAAGAATGGTTTTTCAAGAGAACCAGGTCTAGGGACTCCGAGTTGCTCTCCTGGCTTCTTCCTCCTGTGATTTCTTTCCCTAACTTTACTCATCTACGTTAAGAGAAGAGCCTTTTCTTCCCTGGACACCTGGAGTTGGACCTGCTTCTTGAATTACATGCATGTGCATATGCACCCTGGATGCCCACACGGCTCCAATAGGCTCACTGTCATCCCAGAGTGATTCCAGAGCCAGCCTTCAAAATAAAATCCTTCCTGCTTAAAGGAATTGATGTGCAAGGGGGATTACTCAACATTGTCTAAATAAAAATTTATTGAACAACAGTAAACAGTAGAAAAGGCCAGAAGCTAGGCTAAATGGACTTTTAAGAACCAATATAATCCTGAGAAATATTTGTATTCTACCATATGCCTCAGAAATGAACTGCTGACCCTAACCTTACACACCAGGTCAAAGTGGTGAAATACTTCTCATATGGCTCGTGGTGAATTGTAAACCTCTCCTCTCCTGCCTCACAAAGAGAGGCCTTGGGGTCCTGGGCTGTTGGGACTGACAGGAGACTGACTTTGTCTAGGCCGGCTGGATTCATGGTCATGGTCTACGCAGGTCTTGCCATCTGGAGCGATAGCTAGTAGATCCAAGGGTACCTTCCTCCAAATGGAGGGTTATGGGTCATAATCCTGGGTAGCACAGTAAGAAGCACCATGTGCAGTTGGTTCTGCTCGTGAGCAATAAGAGAGGGTCTGATGTGAGGTCACCACAGTTCAGTGGATCAGCCCCGGAACCTCTGTGCTGGATCTAGCCTGAGGAGGGTTCGCTGTTGCATGGCCCAGCTCTGAGGGTCAGGGGTTGCCTGTCGGGTGAGAGTTGAAACTTGCCTAGTGCTTATTCTCCAGAAGCTGATCTCATCCCCTGTGGTCTGCACAACTCCGGTCAGCTTTGAAGGCCATAGCTGAGACTACGTGAAGCTTTCCCTGAAGGGTTTGGACAGAGTCAGTACTAGGCAAAAGCTCCTTGGGATGGATAATGGTGATTCTGCTAGCTCTCTTGTGCTCCCTCAGGGAAATGGTGATTACAGGGGCAGAGCCAGAGACCAGGGCTCTGCAACTACAAAGTCAACCAAAGCAGGGACTCTAAGCCTTAGAAAGTTGCCTGTCCTGTCCTGTCCTGTCAGGCTATAGACTATAGACCACCTCTGAAAGGTAGTCCACTCTGAGGCTCTCCAGCAGCAAGTCGGGCAGTATGAAGCACAGGGATCTTGTCCGACCTGGGGCATTCTTTCTATAGCAACGTTCTTAACCCCACTATGATTATAGGGCTTCACAGTATTTCATACTCCTGTCACTAATGCTCACCTGGCTCTCTATTCTTCCTTCCCCTTGTCTTTTTTTTCTCTATTTTCTCTTTTGTCCCAATTCTTTCCCTCCCTCCCTCCCTCCCTCCCTCCCTCCCTCCCTCCCTCCCTCTCACTTTGTCCTTCCTGTCTGTGAAATCAGGACTTCCCTGGGTTAAGTGACGATTATTATGGAGCAAAGAATCTGAGTAAGTCAAACTTACACACCACTAACTGTATTTCTGGCATGAGTGGAGATGCTGGGGTTGGGGGTGTAGGGAACGTGGGTGAGGGCAAGGGGGAGGGGAGGACAGTGTTGTGAGAACTCCATGACACCACAGCAAGAGGTGGAACAAGTGACTCTGAATGTCACAACTTTCGCTCTGGATCACTGGCACCCTGATAAAAGCCCATCATTCATGTCTGTGTTTCCCTTTTGTACCTTGAAGGGGTGGGGAGCCATCCTGGCGCCCCGCCTCAGAAATGAGGTGGGCAAGAAGCACCTCCCCAGGGATGACCACTCAGCTCATCTCTAGCCTATTATTGAGGTGAGGGGTGCCTGCTGGTTGGCTTCTTCTCCCAGTGACACAGCACTAAAGAATTGGGCTTAGGAATGAGCTGTTTCAGTCTCTAACTAGGGGCAAGAGTACTGTGAAGCCCTTTACCCATCGTGCATCTGGGACATCCCAGCAGGTTCAGGGGCCTCAGGAAACAGCCATGGGCTGGCTTTCCATGGAACATCTCTAAGGGTCTAAGCTGGTTGGGGCAGCAGCATTTATGGACCATATATGTATTTGGTGCCTTAGCTAGGGAAAACTCTGACCTCTCCTCTCTGGAAAATAATTCAAGAGTGAAATATGAAGGGACCACGATGACAGCATCTTAGCAGCACCTCCCTCGTGCACAGAGGGGCACATACACATGGCTGTGGCAGGCAGGTTCTGTCAGTGTATACTCTCCTTCAATAAGTAATAAAGGCGTGAAGGTAAAGGAGCTTCCTCAGAGGGTCAGGAACCAGCCTTGGGCAGCGACTCATCCAGTTCTTCCTACGGGGGCCACAGCATATCACAGTCTGGAGCAGTGTCATCTTGGCTGAAACGAGCAGTGTCTCTGTCCATAGTTTGTTGTGTTTGTGCTTCATCTTCATTTGCCTGTCGTCTTGGGAGTGGTGAGCTTTGTTTGGGCCACATAGTACCTTGTGCCTCCTTTGAGTGTGGCTGCTGTGCCCACACTTCGATGAGGGTAGGCGCAGTTGTCTGAGACAGGATGGCTGTCTTGGCCTACAAGTGTTCTGTGTCCATTGTTTCTGTGTTTTGACATGTCTGTCTTAATGTGGACAGAGGAGCATCTTCCCTCACCACTAGGCCAAGCTAGGAGAAGGAGGCTACATGATAGTGGTGGCAGGAGGGCTGTTGGTCCTACTGAACTGTCAGAGCATCATTCCCTGTTGACAGCTCCAACCCAGCCAGTGGTTAGCCTCTTAGTTCTGGAGCACTGCCCAACTCTGTACTTCAGGGGCTCTGCCTGGGGAGGAGATTCAAGAGCAGCCTGGTCCCTGGACTTCTCTTTGCCACTGTCACTGCCTTTCCTTTCCTATTGTTAGTCTTGGGAGATGTGTTTTGAGATAGGATTTGGAAACCATCCAAGTCAGTTCTCTGGATTCAGATGAAGAGGATGCTGCCAAAGGATGGAAGGCTTGTAGTATATAGGGAGGGATTTGGCAGACTGAGAGGGCTCTGAGGTGGCCAGGGGCTCAAGGTTGGAGCTCTGCCTCCCACTTGGTAGCCTGGATGTGGCAGGCCTCCTGTGGCCTGACTCGGTGGCAGCTCAGTGTCTTGCCTCCTAGAGGATTTGAGTTTTGTGCCGCGTGTGACCTCTCAGTGGTGTGTTCTGAATCGGAGTCTTCTTTCTTGTTGGCTTGCAGAGGGAGTGACATCCAACACCAGTGACAGCGAAAGCAGTTCCAGTAAGTGTGTGTCATTCTCCCCCATGTTGTGTGGCTCCACTACGTGTCCCAGCCATCCTCATTCCACTGTTGCATGGCTGCCATATCTGTTCAGAGGCTAGTGCTTCTTTTAGCCATGTACACTTTGAGATCCTGGAAATGCTGTGGCCATTTTGTCCTTATGGGGTGGGGTTTGGGCCATGAATTAAAGGAGAGTATAAGGCCTGCACTTCGGGTCAGGACCTGGCTTAAAGCTGTCCCTGGGGCCCTGGGAAGGGTGAGCTGCCAGTAAGTAAATCCCTGCCATGGGCATCCTGGGCTGTAAATGCTGCCATTTTTACAGACTTGCTTAGAGACCAACAAATGGCTCCTGTGGGATATTGTCCTGAATTGCCTTTCCAGGTCTCTAGGACCTCCTGGGTTAAGCCTCGGTGTCTTTTGTCTTTTTGCTGGGTTAAGTGATCAGGTAACTGCCCAGTTCTCCTCCAGAGATCCCGTGATCAAGCCACAGAAGCCACATTTGGAACCCCACGAACTTTGGGAACACTGGCCTCTGGCAGACTGTGGCTAGAGGTCTTATACAATCTGCCCACGGGTCTTAGGCTCAGAGGAAGCCTGTGAGCAAGCATCCTGGGACTTGATGCAAATACTGCCTTCCCCAGCACTGCCATCAGCCACTTGGGACCTCCAGGCACCCAGAACCAAGTGGTTTGGTGACTATTTTAGGAAAAGTTAACAATTGTTAGGGTATATGGAGCTCTACCATGAGGAGAGAGCAGGGCTCAGCATTGCTCATAAAGGGCACTGGGGACCTTAGCCCAGCCTTGAGTCCTTTGGATATTTCTTCCAGTGTAGGGGGGCACATAGGTAAACCCTTAAAAGGGCAAAGTCAGTCTGCAACTTGGGGGGCCTGCATGAGTACCCTGACTCCCCTGCCTACAGATTAGGGGACATGGGCAGTGTTTCTCAACGAGTTAAAGCTTCCCCATGGTTCTTACCAAAGCAAGAGGGTAGTTGAGCATAGTTGACAGTTACCTATAAGAAAATTGGGGTGGTTTTTGGTGGAGGCTTCATGGCTTCTGGGTCTTGTCTCTTTGGTCAGCTATATTTTGCTGGATGAGAGGACTCCTGACTCCTTTTCCAGGGGTGGTGAAGGGCTTCTATGCTTTCTTGCCAATGGATAGCAGATAGGGCCACATGGCAGGTGGTAACAAGTACCACTTGACAAGGCTGTTTTCTGGCAGAGGTGGGGTGAGGTGGATGTTGTAGGGGGACCAGGACATAGGCAGATTATAAAGTGCTAACATGTCTCCCTTTTTTGTTGCAGAAGGACAAGAGGATGCAATTTTGTCATATGAGCCAGTGACACGGCAAGAAAGTAAGCCGCCGTATGAGAGTCTTGACTTCAAGCTAGTCTTGTGGTTATGGGGCCCAACACCGGGGTTGGTGGCATCAGTAGAGGGAAGAACATGAGGGAGTAGGAAGGCACATCCTACTCATTGGCTTATTGCACATCTGGCCCCTGGGCATCTTCTTCTCTTCTATGCCTTCCTAGTGTTAGAGAAAAGGAGGAAGAGGGGCGCCTGCGTGGCTCAGTCAGTTAAGCGTCTGCCTTTGGCTCGGGTCATCCTGGGATCGAGCCCCATGTCGTGCTCTCTGCTCAGCAGGGAGCTTGCTTCTCCCTCTGCCTGCACCCCCATCCCTGCTCATGCTCTCTCTCACCTGTCTCTCAAGTAAATAAATAAAATCTTAAAAAAAAAAAAAGAAAAGGGAGAAGGAAACCCAGTGTGCACCTCACTCTACCTTTGTTGCTGCCAAGATGCCTTCCAGAGGATAGGACAGGTTTACAAAGATGGCAAGGGTCAGTTTCAGTGGCTGTGACCATTGCCTAAACAAAGGTCCCAGTCCCTCCCTGTAGTGGCTCCTTAGAAAAAAACCTTGCTTAGCTGCTGGTGCCCATGCAGAGATTTCTCCGGAATCTGTTGGGAGGGGAGATGCTTCTGATTTCAGACTTGCCTTGGATTTAGATATTTTCCAATTAAAGGCCCTTTGATGTCTTTGTATTTAAAAGCCAGAGAATGGCTGTGGACACTGCCCTGAGTGGCAGCTCCAGAGCCTCAGTGCTCTAGGCAGACTTGGAGGTAGAACAGGCTGTCTGGTGGGAGGCCTTGCTCATGACCTCCATGCTCTCTTTGTCCAGTTCACTATGCAAGACCTGTGATCATCCTGGGCCCAATGAAGGACAGAGTCAACGATGACCTGATATCGGAGTTCCCACATAAATTTGGATCCTGTGTGCCGCGTAAGAGCCCAGGAAGGTTTTGGAAGGGAGGCCTTAGTGCCCTGGGAACTATTACTCTGATGTTTTATGGAAGGGGTCTGGGGCAGGTTCTAGGGTTCTCTGGGAACAAGGGTGTATGTAACGCTCTGGAAGAGATTAGGCAGCAGTAGATTTTCACAAGGCTGATGGGGTTGAGAGGCCTAAGCCATCAGGTTGGCCTGCTTCCTCCCTTGGAGAAAAGTTTAAGTGAGGAGGGTCAGGGAGAATTGGACTACTGGGGGCCCAGTCCAAGTGGTGTTGGCCTAGCCCTGTGGACAGCTTGTTAGGTTTGCTGGCTCCTGTCCCACATTTGGCATCTTCTGCCAGGTTACAGCCTAGGAAACTATACCTTTCTGATCCAGTGTAAAGCAGATAGCTCCCTGTGTGTGAGACCTGGTGGTTATAAGAGAAGTAGGCAAGAAAAACTTCTTTCAAGCTACTTCCCTCCCCGCCACCCCACATGCTCACCTGGAAAATACTGGAGTGGCCCTGGGACCCTGGTGAGAGAGGAACACGTCATCTCTTTTGGCCTGGGGCAAGTCATTGTCCTTGGGCCATATAGCATCTCATCTCTTCCTTCAGATACCACTCGGCCTCGACGTGATAATGAGGTGGATGGACAAGACTACCACTTCGTGGTCTCCCGAGAACAAATGGAGAAGGATATTCAGGACAACAAGTTCATCGAAGCAGGCCAATTTAATGATAATCTCTATGGGACCAGCATCCAGTCAGTGCGGGCAGTTGCAGAGAGGGTAAGAGAGGAGATGGCCCTGTTAAGTATAACCCTCAAAGGAAAAACCGAAGGTTTCCTGCTGACATTCTGTTAGGGTCCTCTTCCTTTCAGCACAGGGCCTACTGAATGGCACTGCTGACCAAAGCTGTGCCGGCTCTGCATGTTCCCAGGTCCTGCATAGAGGTGGCTGGCCATCTCCATGCAACTCACCCCAGCTTGTCACTGGCATGAATACGGACCCCTCTGTAGATGTGGCCTTTTCTGGCTAGTAGGAGCAAAATGGGGGCCTGGGTGTTGCCTCAGGGGTAGAATCTTCTAGGCCTCTCAGAGTGGTCCTGGCTTCCTCTCAGCCAGATGTTTGGGTTGCCACTGGGTAAGGGCCTGGGGCTGGGTAGACTGGGACTGGGCAAGCTGATAAAGAGCCTTTGCCTTTTCAGGGCAAGCACTGTATCTTAGATGTTTCTGGCAATGCTATCAAGAGGCTGCAGCAAGCACAACTTTACCCCATAGCCATTTTCATCAAGCCCAAATCCATTGAAGCACTTATGTAAGTATTTGCAAGACTCAGACACTCCCAGCTAGGAGAGGGCCCTGGAAAGGAACAAAAAAATAAACTGATTTGCTGGGCAGGGGTAAGACCTGGTAGAAGCTCAGAGGAAAGTCTGCACCCTGGCTGGTCACCGAGGGCTCCTTCTGATTTGAGTGTCCACGCACATGTATTCCAGTTGCACTTTTAAACCTGGAAGGTTTGAGGAAGATGTTGAGCCATGGGCAACTGTTGCTCTCAGGGCAGCTAAGCAGATTTCTAGGGAACCTGGGAGCAATCCTTTATGTTAATCAAAATGTAGAATCTGGGGGGCACCTGGATGGCTCAGTGTGTTGACCATCTGACTCTTGATTTCTGCTCAGGTCATGATCCCAGGGCCCTGAGATGGAGCCCCACTTCGGGCTCCACACTTAGTGGGGAGTCTTCTGGAGATCCTCTGTTTGCCCCTCCCACCACTTGGGCTGTCTCTAAAGTAAATAAATAACTCTTAAAAAAAAAAGTTGTTCTCTCCCTCAGCCCCTGCCCTCCTCCCCTCTCACCACAGCTCATGCTCACTTGCTAAAAAAAACAAACAAACAAACTACATAGAATCCAGTTTGGTATCATTTTTCTCCTCTGTCTTTGGCAGGGAAATGAACCGACGGCAGACATATGAACAAGCAAATAAGATCTATGACAAAGCTATGAAACTAGAGCAGGAGTTTGGAGAATACTTCACAGGTGAGAATACCTGCTGCCCAGCTCAGGTAACGTGGGACCAGCCAGACAACTTTAAGTGTCTCCAGAAGGCTTAGATACCCTGCACAGAGTTTTTGGATGCTTTGGAGATCAGATCTTTCCAGAATACTCAAGTTCCTTCCATCCAGCTGGAGGAGTTTAGCCAGTTTGTAGTATCAACCACCACCACCAACTGCTGCCTTGGATCATTTTATTCGTCTTCTCTTCCTATCCCAGATTGTAGGCTCCCTATGTTACTTTGCTTCTCTCTCTCTCTCAACTCCTTCCCTCCCCTCCATCTAGTACTAGGTTTCACATGTTTTAGGTGCTGATCAATGTTTGTTGATGATGATGATTCCTCAGTGTGGTCTTCAAGTTGTCTGTCACTGTGTTTGTGTATGTGTGTGTTATATGGCCACCTATTTTACAAGGTCAGTTCCTAAAAGATTGTTAAAGTTTCTATGTCATCTGTTGCTTACCTTTAAAGTAGAGTCACAGGGAGGTGGGTGAGGGGTGGGTAGGTGGATGGCAGGGATTAGGGAGGGTGTCATCCCTGTTGAGATGAGCACTGGGTATTGTTTGTAAGTGATGAATCACAAAATTCTACTCCTGAAATTGATATTACACTATATGTTAACCAACTAGAATTTAAAGGAAAAAACTGAAAAAAAAGTACAGTGACATTTATGTGCAGGTTAGTACTGAGTAAACCCCAGCTGGTAGTGCTGCTGGGTAAAGCGGGGGAATGATTCGTAGCCACACTCTCAGACCCTGGGTTTTAGAGCTCCATTTACTGTTAACATCTATGTCCTTGTTTGCTGGGCCAACCTCTGATGTAGAGCAGAAGTCATGACCCCAGGAGCACTGCCTCTTGCTAGAAATGGTTTTTTTGGTTCTCTGGATAACTGGGATTTTTCAGATCTTCTACGGAGGCCATTTACAGTGACCAGCTGCTGGCTTCATGGCTGCCAAGAGCAACGGGAGCTGCAAAGTCTGGCATTTAAGGGGCGCTCAGTAAACGTTGTTTGAACAAGACCTTTTCTTGTTCGTTGCCACTTAGTCTCACCGTCTCAGTGAGGTGACCTTGAGCTGTGGGCTTCCAGCACCTGCCCTTTTCCCTCCTGGCCCTAGGCTCACAGGCTGGTGAAACCAGAGTCCGCATCCACGTGGGCATCTCGGCCAGGCTGAGCTGTAGGGTGATGGGGCAGGCTAGATTGCTGGGTTCGGGGTGCTGTGGAGCACACTAACAATTCCGTTTTCCTCTCCACTTTAGCCATTGTACAGGGTGACTCACTGGAAGAGATTTACAACAAGATTAAACAAATCATCGAGGACCAGTCTGGGCACTACATTTGGGTCCCATCCCCTGAAAAACTCTGAAGAATCCCCACCAAGCACTCTCTTGTGAACAGAAGACATCAAGTCCCTCTTCCCTCCTCCCTCTTCAGTCCTGTCCCCACCAGGAGAACAAATGACTACTGTTCTTGTCCCCTTTTTTAGATATGTCCCAAAAATTGAGTTTTCTAGTCCTGTTCTGTTTTTTTAAATCTTCATTTTGTTTTAGTTTATTTTTTGGGATGATGCCATCTCACTCATCATGTGACTGTGCCCATTCCTGCATGGACCTTTCCCAAGCGCTAGCACAGGTGCAAATCCATCAGAGTCATTGTTTTCATAAAAACCAAGCAGAAGTGACGAGAAGAGAGGAGGACTGCTGGAAAGCCAGGCTCCGGACAGCTGCACGGCTTGTGAAGCGAGCTCAGTGTGCCGGCGTGCTGAGATGCCCCCGGGCGTTTTGGCCTCTTGTGCTGCCATCATGCAGTGCTGAACGGTGCAACGTATGGCGACAGAAAGTATCTTATTTATATATAGATATATATATGTAATTTATATAAAATATATAGAAATTATTATATATATATATTATACACTCTCATATAATATATATATATTCACACACACTCAGACTAGAAAATCTATGGAGACTTCATCAATGGTACTGTGTTATTAGAGAAATGCTTTAATTTTCATATTCCAATCAGATGGCATCTTATATCCCAACTGGTTGGGGAGGTATCAAAAGTGGTAGTAAGTGCTGTACCAGGGGCACTCACATTCGGTCATTCTCTTGAAAGCTGGGCTTTTCTCTCGGCGGGGTCAGCCAGAGGGCCTTTCCTCGGGTGAGAGGGGTGGACACTTGACCCTGAAACAGCTGCTGCCCCGGAGATGGAGTCAGTCCGTGCGCAGAAAGCAAGAGAATGGCTAACAGTGCTCCAGATTAAATTGCCTATTGTTTTATGCCACCTGATGTGTCTGCATGAGAGGTTTCCTTTTTGTTCATTTTTAAGCTGCTGTTAAACCAAAACCATGTTGTGCTACCGTGTCAGCCTTTTCATTATTCCAAATTTTACTTTTACTATTTAAGTGAATGCGTAGACTCCAATTGACAGTGTTGTAAAGGCTCATTGACATTGTGGAGGAGCCGGGCCTTGTGAAAGGAGGTGAGCAGGCATGGCTGTCCAGGCAGCAGAGGGGGGAGCCAGGGCTCTGGGTGGGAGCACATCCCTTTACTCGTGCAGGGAACGTGCTGGACTCCCCCAGGCTCCTTGGTGGGACCCCCCCAACGGTGACAGGGAGTCACTTGCTGTCCACGCTGGGACAGCAGGATGGCCCTGGGCTTGGCCAGCCATGTAATGAGAAGTTGGATCTGGGTTTTTTTTTTGCAGCTGCTCCATATGCCCTACCCCAGCACATGCACCAACAGCTGGTAGCTGACTGTTTCTTCAGGCAGAAAGCAGATTTTCAGGCCTTCTGTGTGACCCCATAGAGCTAAGATTCCCTTGCTGGTGAGACGGGAAGCCGTGGGTTTTTTTTCCCAGAGTCAGAAGGCTGTGACTACGGTCAAGGGAGGTTTTCTCTGACCATGCAAGTGCAGGCAGCAGCTGTGGCTCGGGCCCACCCTGCCACCCTCCCTGGATGCCACCAAGCCTCCTTTACCCCCTCGCTGGGTGGGACACTGGGGAGAACATGCATGTGCTTGGCCTTGGGATCCAGTCCGTTGATTCCTAGTCCGCAGTGTTGTGAGCAGTGCAAACACCATGTCGAAAACTCTTCGAGTGCCACCAGCCGCATTTAGGAAATGTGTTAACAGTTCTCCTACCAGCATAATGAGGCTAACTGTACAGTGTGGGGCCCAGAATGAGGGTAAAGAAAGAGCAGCAGTTTCACCTGGGCAGTACACTGGATTGAAGGCAATGAGTGATGAAGCGATGGCCAATGGTGATTCTGGTGAGGAGGGGGGTGAGCCGGGAATGTTGACTTCTCTGATGTTAAGTGATGTATCCTCTGAATGATGCTCAACCCTCTGCCCCTCCCAGGGAAGGAAATCAAGATTCAAAGTAAGCATGACACTAGTTGGTTTACCAGTGTTCCTTCCAAGGAGACATATATTTTTTAATAAATGATAGTTGCAATGAACTGTGGCTCAGAGACCTTCTTGAAGGAGTTGAGAAGGGAGGGTGGCAGCACAGCCATAGGAAGAAGTCTCAAACCTTTGGGGCCCAAAAGGCTCTCTACTCAGGGGTGCTGGGGTGGCTTAGTTAAGCATTGGACTCTTGATTTCGGCTCCCATCAGGGTTTCATGGGTCGTGAGGTCGGGTCCCACCTGGGGCTCAGCGTGGGATCTGCTTGTCTCTCCGTCTGCCCCTCTGCCTTACTCCCCACCACACCCCCACTTGCAGTCATGCACACACGCTCTCTCTCAAAAATAAAATCTTCAGAAGACTCCGGATTTTGTGACCATCAGCTGACTAAGTTAGGTATTCCTCTGGATGGTTCTAGACTACTATGTTTGTACCAGTTCCTTCGTGGGGGCTATACGCTTGGTCTTCTGCTGTGGCCCCAGACCCTGTCCCCCAGAACTGACGAGGTGTGAGGCATGTCCATATTCTTGGTGGCAAAATGCCGACATTTTCCCAAAAGGTTGCCAAGACGGGCAATGCCTGCTGCAGCAAAGACGTTTGCTGGAAAAAGCAAGGGCCAAACTAGCAGTAAGGAGCTGAGTAACAAATATGACATGGACAAGCTTGGCCTGCCAGCTCCCGGGCTTTCCAGAAAGCACTGAGCTCAGGGGAAAACGGGAGAGATGGGTCCAGGGTAGGTCCTAGTTGGCAGAGCAGGTGGCAGGCCCCCTGAAGAGAGGGGAGGAGCACTGAGAGCAGGGACGTGGGACACGGCCTATGGCAAAGCGACTTCTGTGCAATAGCCTGAGGAGCCACCCCCGTCCATGATCATGGTCAAGAGACATGACTGATCGAAAGAGAAGCCCTGACGTGTGTGCGCTGAGCCACAGGAAGGAGACTCCTTACCTGTTTGTGGTGCTTTACAGTTTGCAAGGGGCTTCCTTTGACATGTCCTCTTATTTGCTAGAATCATAGCCTGATAAAAAGGAGTCCCCAAAGTGCTCCTGGAGGGCTTAAGGGAATCCAGCTCCCAGGTGCCAAGGCCCTGTCACCCCACTCTGTTGAGGCTCAGTCTGTCTCGGCAGCTGCTGTTCCTCCTAGGGAGGCTCAGCCAAAGAAAACTCAGCCCCAGGGGGAAGATACTGAGCAACTCAGAAACCCCCGAGGTAGGCACGCCCCGACCCTAAACTCTGTGGTGGCCAGATTGCTAGAGCCCCATCTCTTCATCTCCTCGAGCAATGCCAGGATATCTCCCAGGTCCTGCTGCTGACAAGTCGGCTTGCTAAGCATGTCTCGATTTCTTCTCTGACAGACCTGAAATGAAAACATTCCTAGGGTGTTACAATGACGAAAAAGATTTGTTCGGATCCGAATTGCCGGCCTACTCTGAAGGCCATTTCCTAACAAGGCCAAAATCTTTATCTGAAACACGTGTGGAAGTCGTGCTCCAGGACCGAGCTGAGGAGGCAGAGGTGGAGGGGGGGGGAGCCTGGAGATCAAGGGTCAAGTACAACAGGATGAGACTGTGAAAGGACACCGGCCTTGAGCAGAAAGGCGGGTGCTAAAGGACAGTAGAGCCCTTTCCGTAGGGCCAGTGCTTGCTTGCCCGCTGCCAAGCCCTGGAAGCCCGAGGCGTGGGAAACCCTTGTGGCAATGAGACGAGTGGGTGCTGACAGAGCCGCTAGCTGTCTCAGGGCAATCCAATCCAAACAGTGAGCGTCCAAGTTGGGGAGGAGCACACCAGGCTGTCCCAGTGATCCTCCTATCAGGGCAGTCTGTTCCTTGGCTGACACTTTGCCACCACACAACCTCCCGAGGGTCAAATTCCACACGTGGGAAAGCCTGTCCCCCATCACCTAGAAGAGAGAACAGACCTGGCCCCAGTGTGCCTTGGCTCCGTCCCCCCCCCCCCCCCCAGTGAACAGGGCCTTGGTCCTGTGCGCTCTGTCAGAGAAGAGAGGAGATGCTTTTGCAGTGAAGACCAACGGATTTGCCTCCACAGAGCCGTGCCCACTGTCACCACGTGACACCTGCTGGGGCCTCTCACATCAGGACAAATGAACTACCTGTGTGTCCTGTCCCCACCCCGCCACTGTGCCCCAACTGGAAGCTTCCAGTGGACTTGGAAGGACTGGGAAGCGGGTAGTTTGAGGACCAGCCTTCAGCCCTGTCTGCTCCCGGGCATGTGCCAGAGGGTGTTCTCCTGACTGGCCTTCCTGTCCCCACAGCCTTCCACCACTAGCCCACAGAACTGGCCATTTATGCTCCCTGCTCCCTTGGGGTCCTGGTACCCACAGAGAGCAGTCCAAGCTCCTTACCACAGGCCCCTCTACTGCCAGGCCTTGGCCTTTCTCTCCTACCTCATCTTTTGCTGCGTCCATCCATCCCAGCCCTGAACACCATGGCCCCATGTTTTTGTTTTTATAAGATTTTATTTATTCATGAGAGACACACAGAGAGAGGCAGAGACAGGCAGAGGGAAAAGCAGTTGCCCTGTGGGGAGCCTGATGCGGGACTCGATCCCAGGACCCCAGGATCAGCAGCTGAGCTGAAAGCAGATGCTCAACTGCTGAGCCACCCAGGTGTCCCCAGCCCCGTGTTTTTTGCTCAGACTTCTCTTTCTGCCCAGTGCTGCTGCCCCATTTTGCTTACCTGGAAAACCCCCCTTAATATTTTTAACACTCAGTTCAAGAGTTCCCCCTCCCCCACCACGCTGCCTTTCCTGAAGTACCTCCTCTTCCCTTCCACCTCTTAGGTCGACCTCACTGTCCCCTCCTTTGCGCGGAGAGACCCCATGCAAGACCTTTGGTCATTGTAACAGCCGAGGTTGATTTTGTACTCCCTACGTGAGGGGCAGTGTGCTAAGGGCTTTACCCCTTTTACTTAGTGCACCAAACATCCCTATGAGGTAGATGCTCACATTACGTCCTTTCCCAGGTGAGGAGACCCAGGCACAAAAGGCAGGCGCACAGCTCGTAAGCGGTAGAACCGAGTCAGACACAGGCTGTTTGGGCTGCACTACTTATGCTCCTAAGTGGGAGCCTCTGGGCCGCCTCTCACTTTGCCACACTTGGAACATTTTCTTGTCCTTATCTCCTTCTGTCTTCCTGCCCTGACTCCTCTTCAAGAGCACAAACAGCCCCATTCATTGTGCCTGCAGCACAGTATTTGTCATGCAGCAGGTGTGAGGTGCAAAAGGAGGGATGCACTAGTCTTGGGCTCGGCCCTGCTGAGGAGAGATTCCACGAGGCCCACACCTGTGCTGAATAGGACTTTTCTGTTGTGTTTTACAGAGAGCTTCCATTCTGAAGTGCCCACAGCTTCCTCTGGGATCTTGTGCCATTAGGACTCCTTTTCGTCTCCAACCATTTCCTCTCCTTTAGCCCCTTCTCCTGCTTTTCGCTCTGCTGACTTCTCACCAAGAGTTAAACAGTCCCCCTGCTCTGCCACCACTTCCTGACTATGCACTCATTCAGAATGCTTGTTGAGCAGCAGAAAGCTCTCAAGTTCAGCCGCGACCTCCCCAGCATGAGGTTCAGAGCCTTGACCTGGTGAACGGATGAAAGTGCCATGTCTCTGCTCTCACCATTGAGGTCATTTCTCTCTGGACCACTTCACCTCTTCCTGGACTTCTTCACTCATTCTTTTCCCACCTCCGAAGTGCCACCCTTCTCCTAGGCACCTGGGCCCCAGACTTGATCTCTCTCCTTTGGTCATCATATCCAACCTCTTACCAGAACCTGTCAATTCTTTAAGGTATCTGTTCCGTTTGGTCCTTTGTTTCCATCATCACTGTCCCTATCCCCGTGATAGCAAGAGCCACAACTTGGTGAGCACTTGGTGATAGGCCCTGTGTGCAATGCTGAAAACACAATGGCAAGTCAAAGAACATGGTCCCTGTTCTCAAGAGCCTTAGTCTAGTAGGGGGAGGGCAGCAAACAAGTCAGTGACTGAGTATATCATTACACATTAGGCTGAATGCTATGAAGGGCATCTGTAGGATATAGCAACAGAGGATAAATCTAGTGTGAGGACCTTCCTGAGAGAAGGTGCCTCGGGAAGGCTTCTTGGAGGAGGTGATGTTTAGGTTGAGATCTGCAAGATTAGTAGGATCAGACTGGTGGAGGACGGGGTGTGGGATGCAGTAGAAGAAAGTATTTACCATCCTCCACCGGCCCCAATCTGCTCATCTGGGATTATGTCCTGGGGTTTCTGTACCAACCAGCCTAGACCATTTGCCTTTTTACCTGTGAGCTGGGCCTCTGTCTGGAGTGTTTCTAGTCCCCACGTCTATGAAACCTTTAGGCTCTGGCTCAAATGCCATTTTCCATGATGATGTCACCGGTCACTCCAGACAGAGCTTTCCCCTTGCTGTCCTTCGCACTACTCTCGCAGGTTCCATGGAACTTACCCTGTTCTTCCTTACAGGGTAGCTAGCTGTCCATTATATCTTCTGGAAGGCTGGGGTTGCATCTGGTATCTTTGTGTCCATCGCAGCAGCTAATATGTGCCAGATGCTCAGTAAATGATTGCGGGGTGAACTTCCTCTTTCTGGACCTCACTTTCTAAATCTAAAACATGAGGAAGTTGCACAGATGAGCTCTAAGGCCTCTCCTATCAGTGGTGATAAAAGAATTCTAAAGGACGTGCATTACAAATCCACAAAAAGAAAGTCCATGCCTTTTGCGACTTTTCAGTTCAAAAGACCTGAAGGAACACTGATGCAGATGACGGAGGTTTAAATAGAGCTGCCAAAGATCATGGCACCTGAGCACATTAGGTTTCTACACAATTAAACATTACACACACATACAGAGGCCAGATGCCTGCTGTGAGAGAGTAAAGGACCCAGAAAAGATGTGTGGACTAGAACAGGGGAAATGTCCTTTTCCCAGCTGGGAAGAGGGGTAGGATTCCGGGACAGCTTAAAAAAAGGGGGGGGGGAATGTCACAAAGCAGGGTGCAGATTCTGATTACTTACAGCTGGGCAAAGAAATGGTGCTAGGAAAAGAGGAG